TGTAAGACATATGTAGGTAGTTTTCCTGACCTGATGGTAAAATATCACAGCAGTGACAGTGAGCTCAAATGGAGTCACCCCTGATGTGTATTGCCATCTCAAAGAGCTACTTTCTGGTGAGAGTATCTGTCCTGTGTGCAGAGTCCCCAAAACCTTTAGTCTTACTTGTCAGCAAAAGCATGAATTCCAAAAAACAGCAGTAATGGGACCAAGATTAAGGGGCCCAGATGTTAGTGCTAGATCTCATTCATTCGTTTGTTTTGGTTTTTCAAGACAAGGTTTCTTTTTGTTTTGTTTTTCTAAACAGGGTTTCTCTGTGTAGCCACAGCCACCCTGGAAATCACTCTGTAGACCAGGCTGGCTGGTGCCATCACCACCCAGCAGGCTTTTTTTTTTAATTTAATATTCATTTATTTATTTTGTGTGTACCTAGCATTTATGTGGAGGTGAGAAGACAGTTTGCCAACTTGAGGGAGCTGTTTCTCTCCTTCTAGCAGGTGGGTCCCAGGGATCGAACTCCGGTTGTCAGAATTGGCAGTAGTAGCTCCTGCTCAACTATCACCCCTGCCCAATATTAGACTTTTTATACTGCGCTTTAAAAAGGAAAAGCCAGGGGCTGGAGAGATGGCTCAGAGGTTAAGAGCATTGCCTGCTCTTCCAAAGTTCCTGAGTTCAATTCCCAGCAACCACATGGTGGCTCATAACCATCTGTAATGAAGTCTGGTGCCCTCTTCTGGCCTGCAGACATACACACAGACAGAATATTGTATACATAATAAATAAATATTTTTTTTTTAAAAAAAGGAAAAGCCAGTTGCAGCTACGTATGGTGATGAGCAACTATAATCCCAGCCCATGAGAGGCTGAGGCAGGAGGATAGCGAGCTTGGGACCAGCTTTACGTAGTGAGACCCTGTCTTAGAAACAAGCCAGTTGTGCTAAAAAACATCTGTAGTTGGTGTGGAGTGACTCCTGAGATTGGAAAAGGTGATTTTTGTCCCCCTGCCCCCATGCCATTCCCACACCTATAAAGTACTTTCTTCCTCGTTTGCTGTTTGTTTTGTTCTTAGTGGTATTGGGGATGGAACTTGGGACCTCGTGTGTGCTAGGCAAGCTGTGTACCGATTATCCGCAGCCCCAGCCCCAACGCTTTTAACTGTGGTTTTGGTTGGAGCTACTGAGTCTAGCCAGATGACTTCTGTTGATAATCCATGTCCTTTCCCCCCCCCCCCCACAGCCCTTATCGCTGGCACTGTAGGCAGTGGTAGAGTCATCCTTCAAGACAGACACAGCCAGAGAAACATGTCTCCACAGGTATAGACATGTGCGGAAGGACAGGCAGCCTCCACCTCCCCAGACAGACAGATGAGCCATTCCCAGCGGCTGGAGTATAAGACAGTGATATGCCTCTTGATGTACAGGGATTGAGATTCAGAAGCTATTTTGGATGTCCGCATATCTGCTGGGGAGTCATTCATAAGAGGGGGAAAGATGAGCGCAAGCCAGTTCTGTAGTAATAAACTCAGATATTTATTACTCTGTACAGTTGCAAATGTGTAAATTCTATACTTCCTTGGCACAATCTCCCACTAAAACTTGACTGACATATTTACTGCTGCTTGGAGCATAACTTACAAGAACATTCTGGGGCAATTTCTGATTTTTTTTTTTTTTTTTTTTTTTTTTTTTTGTTTCACTGCTGAGGACTGAACCCAGGGCCGAGCCCTCTGCCACACTGACCTGTTTCCCAGGCCCCTAGACTTTAAATCTGGCTCAGCAATTACATTGAAAAAAGAAAAGAAAAGAAACAACAATTTCTCCTACTGAGATCTTGCACAGTATGCAGAGTTGTAGAGACAAAAATACTAGAGTCAGCACTGTGTGTTCTGGGACGGACTGGAAGGCATCCAAGTACGATCTCCTGGGGGCACATGAGTAGGGTATACCTACACAGTTCTCTATCCCACGGCCCTGGGAAGGATGCGGTCTGTACACACAAGCCAGAGGGCCGTCGAAGACCGAGAGTTACGTGCAGAAAGTAGGATTCAGAAGAGAAGCAGGGCATGCCGCTCGTGAAGCACATCTTTTAACAAAGGCAAAGAAAACTTGCTCAATGTCTGCAGCAAGCATCAGCCCAGGAAGGGCTGTTGGGAGGACTCCACTTTCTCGTTCAGAATTCTGCAGTGTGCGTGGTTTTCATGTGAAGCAGATGATCCTTTTGGAGTGTGGAGAGGGTGGTGGTTAGGACCACTAAAGCATGAAGTCCCAGGGATCTGCTCCCCCAAAAGGATGTAATGTGTGTTCGCTGTGTGTTTTCAACCATATTTTAAAAATGGAATGGAACTCACTGAAGGCATGCACGGGCAGTGGCTGCTGGGGTCTTTTCTGTGTTGGCCTAGTAGGTTCATTAGTCATAAATTAGCTTCCATACTGGAAGAAAAAAAAAAAACATGGGCTTTGCAGACATTGGAAAGCCTCTTGCAAGGGGAGCCCAGGCTCGTTCTTTCTGTCTCTGTCTCTCTCTGTGTGTAAGGGGGTGGGGGGGAGTGTCTTAGCTCCTTTCCCTGATTACTTCTGTTTTTAACAGGGTCCCAGTGAGGGGTCCATGCTAGGAGGGTGGGCACTGGGCAGCTCTGCTGAGGCCTGGGAAGCTGGACTTTTTCTAAGGTTAGCTGGGGCACTGAAGGAACTAGTGGTACAAAGGTGATCTGAAATTGCTGTCCCTCGACTGCCCCTTCCCTGATCCAGAACTCCTCCTGGCCTGTCTCACCCAGAGATGCCCAGTCCCCTACCAATTATCTTCCCCACAGGGGAACATCTACAGGTCTGGAAGGGAGTTTGGGTCTTGGTGATTCTGGAGCAAAGATTTAAGTTCCTTTGGGGCAAAGATTTGAGTTTCTGAGGAAGAGAGCAAAAGGGTAGTGAAGATTCAGAGTGCCGTGGACTAAGGATATTGGTTCGGAAAGGGCAGGGAAGTTTCTGCTGTGGTCTCCTCAAAGCATACAACAGACTGAAGACAGCTAAAATGGGAAGCTGCTGAGTCGGTCTGTTTTCTGTCGCTGTGACAACACAAACAAGAATGGGTGGTTCGTGGAGAATAGTTGCTGGATGGGTGTCTTGGCACACGCCTCAAATGGCAGCCCTCGGGAGGATCTTTGTGAGTTTCAGGCCAGTCTAATCTGCATAGTGAATTCTAGAACAGCCAGGACTATACTATGAAACCCTGACTCAAAAGGAGAGGGGAGGAGCAACGACAAATAATTAACTGAAAAATTCTTACTAAATAGAAGCTTATTTAGTTTATAAGAACGGATCCTGTGTAGTCCAAGAGCACTATTTGGTATCTTCCTGACATCTGGTGAGAGCTTCATCCGGCTGAGTCATAGCAAGGCAGAGGGCATCACATGATGTGATACAGAGACTGTATTAACCCTGTTCTCATCTCGTAACACCACCGGTGCCATCGTGGGGCTGGGAGGGGGCTCCATCTCCCTGGCCTCCTCTGCTCCTAGTCAGCTCCCAAGGATCCCATCTCAGAATACCATCCGCGTGGGAGTCTAGGGATTGAGTTTCCAACACATGAGGCTTGAGGGGCTCAGACCAAAGCACCTACCATAAAACCATTTAGCAATGTTCCTTCCTCTCCCTCCTCTTCCTCTTCCTTCCCTCCTCTTCCTCCTCCTCCTCATTCTTCCTTGCTTTGAGCCAGATCTATGCATTCCTGTCCATCCTGACACTTTCTGTGTAACCCAGGCTGACCTCAAACTCTTGGTAATCCACCTGCCTCAGCTTCCCAAGGCTGGGACTACAGGTTGTACCACCATGCCCAGCTTCCTTAGCCTTCTGCATGAAGATAAGAACGTGTTCAAGCAGTTCTTGCCTTCGTGCTTAGGTTGGGTTCATTTTTGCCAGCTCGTAGGATGGATCTTGAATTAGTGTGAGTGTGAACTTAGTTCTCTCTCTGTGGGGTTGGTTCCTGGATGCAGGAGCTGCTGGGTGAAGTTAAGGAATGAGGGTTTTGTTGTTGGTCTGCCCCATTCTAGCTCTTTAGCAGGTTGCCGTGTGCACAGTGTTTGCAGTGGTGCTGCACTAGGAGGTCAGGGTCCTGGCAGGCACTCACTAAAAAACGCTTAACCTTGTTTAAATGGGAGAAAGGAGAATTTCTGGGGGCCAAAGCTAGGGCCTTGTGTATACCAGGCAAGCACCCTATCACTGAGCTATACTCCCGTCCAATATCATGTTTTATTTTTTAATATTTTTGAGACAGGGTCTTAACTGTGTCCTGTAACTGTGATGGCCAGGCTGATGGCAAACTCACAGAAGTCTGCCTACGCAACACTCATATTTTATTAATTTTTGTTTGTTTTTCAAGACCGTGTTTCTCTGTCGCTTTGGAGCCTGTCCTGGAACTAGCTCTTGTAGACCAGGCTGGCCTCGAACTCACACAGATCCACCTGCCTCTGCTTCCCGAGTGCTGGGATTAAAGGCACGTTACACCACTGCCTGGCTCAAAAAACTCTGTGTGTGTGTGTGTGTGTGTGTGTGTGTGTGCGCGCGCACATGCACATGCACATGTACACACACACAGGCTTCAGTGCCTGAAGAAGCAGGAAGAGGGCAACAGATCCCGTGGAGCTGGAGTTACAGGTAGCTGTGATCTGTGTGATGTGGATGTGGCTGTTCATCAAACCACACTCAGGCCCTCTGCAAGAACAGTACATGCTCTTGACCACTGAACCATCTCTCCATCCCTCAAAAGTTTTATTTTCACTTTCAACTTTTTGGCAGCAAGTGAAGAAATATATAATTAACATGTCAGTAACTTCTATCTTTAGGCGAAGCCCATGAGAATTCTCTGGGTCCCTCCAGGACTGTTCTTGGGAGGACAGCAGATGGGAATCCTTTCTTTTGGATGCTGTGGTCCTCCCCTGGGGACATAACTGGGGAAGAGGCGGCTGGCTGCCCCTGACCTGGGCCTAACGCTCCCTTTGCCTTCTGCAGGAAACCTGGAAACAGGCGATTCAGAAAGCCAAGGGTATGCCTGACCCCTGGGCCAAGTTCCATCTTGAGAACATCGCCACGGAACACGCTACCCGGCACAGGTTAGCAGTTTGTCCCAGGGGCTTTGAGGAGTCCTTGTGGGTTTGGGGATGGGAGGTGTCATGAGTCCTGCTTCTGGCTAAAGAAAGAGAACCAATACAGTATCTGGAGCAGGTGGGATTATCAGAGAGGCCCAACCAGCTAAGTCTGTACTAACATTCAAAACTGGGAACAATCTGAACCGTGGAAAACTTTTGGTCCTGGATATCTTAGATAAGGAGAGGGGGCCATTTCATGCAGCAAAGGTGTGTCTGTCATCCATCTGAAGTAGGTTGAGAGTTGAGCAGCTCCTCGGGGCAGCTCAGGGACCCAGGCTCCTCCTGACTTGTGACACCATCCTCCCAACACTGTCCTTGCAAACAGCAGTAGAGGCAGACAGTATCGAGACAGAGCAGCCGGTTTGATGCATGGTCACTGGCTGTGACATTTTTCTCTGGCTAACACATTCCGCCCTCTTCTCTGTTTCTACTCCTGTCCTTCAAGGAGATGGCTGCAGAGCCCCTCATATGCCTCCTCTCCTCAGCCGGAGGTCTACCTTCCAAGGTGGGGGCAGGATAGCTCAGCATGGTCTGGATCCCAGTCTGTGAGGTCTAAGTAGGTCCTACCTCTATCTACCTGCGAGAGCACTAGGTTAGTAAGCTGATGACACTGCCCAGATCCTCGGGTTAGCCAGGGAAAGAGGGGCCCTACGCTGAGCTGACTCTGTGTCTTGAAGCCCAGTTGGGGTCTTGGACCAGGCTGAACTATTTATTTCTCATGGCTGAGTTTCTTCTACCCAGGCTGCCAGGAAGAGGATGCCAAGCATGGCTGTCTAGAACGTTCTGATTGCTGGAGGCCAAGCGTGGCTGTCTGAAATCTGAAACATTCTGATTCCTGGAAGCCAAGCTTGGCTGTCTGAAACATTCTGAATTTTCTAAACCTGACACTTCTTTCTCTGGCCTTCGCCTTTTAAGATTAAAAGCCTTGCTACAAGCTAGCCGTCCATTTAGGGCAGTTTTTCCTGTCCCTCTGAACTTTCCAGGGTGGTTAAGAGCTAGATTCTGCTTTAATCATACCTGAGTTTGAATCCCGATGCTCAGGCAGGAGACCTCACCTCTGAGCCGGTTTCTGTAAAACAGGCACAGTAATTGTCGCCATCTTAGGGTCTCTGTAAAGATTAAATGAAGCCGTCTGCTTAAGCGCCCAGCATATAGTGAACTCCGTGAACTTTGGGCACACTAGGCATTCAGTCATTTATTCATTTTCTTACCATGTTACTGGGGACTGAGCCCAGGGCTTCCTAGATACTAGGCGAGTGTTCTGCCTGTGAGTTACGTTCCCAGCCTTCATCTGAGATAGGGTTCCCCCCAGGTTGGCCTAGGCTGACTTTGAACTTACGATGCAGCCCAGACAGACCTTTGAAAGTGGCTGGGGTTACAGGTCTGTGCACCAGTTCTACCTGGCTCTTCCCTTTGTGGTGTTGGTGTTTGCTAGCAGCAAGCAAGACCCTTTCAAGGTTGCACACTGACCCCCTGCCCCAGCCTCTGAGTGCCTCTCAGAATGGAGGTGAGGGAGTGGTCCATCTCTCTATGTAGAACATAGGGCTTGCCTCCCACTGGCTGCAGCCAAACCGACAGCCTGGCAGAGCCCTCTTCCTCCTCTGAGCCTGGGGAGGTAACCTGCCAGGCTTCTGTTGGTTCCTGACAAACCTGTTTTCCCAGGTCTGGTGTTCTGAGAGAGAAGGCTGCTGGCCAGAGATAAGGAAGGGTTGATTCCTGCTGTAGTGACTCACTACAGGCCTGGGGCTGCCAGAGGTGCTCTGGAAAGAGGGTGGGGGGTACTCTGGGACCACCACCCCCACCTCTTCTGCCATCTGTTGTTCTGTCTCTCCGTCTTTCTCTTTCCTTACCGTTCTCTCTTCATCTCCCTCTCTCGCGCAGCCCGTCTCCCCCTTTTCCTCTCATCTCTCCACATCGCTCTCTTACACGCTCCCTCTCTCTCTAAGTCTCTCTCCACCCCATCACTTCCTCCACATTTCCTCCACACTCTTTCTTATCTCACCTCAGAGGCAGCTCTTCCCTTCCCTGCCCCCTACGTGCACTGTGACAGTCCTTACCTCTTGGGAGTGTGTATCCACCTGTGTGGGCGGTGCCTGATCCAAGTACTTGGCAAAGTTGAGACTGCTACCTCCCTCCCTCGCTCTCTGGGACCTGCTGTTTGCTACTGTTAGGTCTCAGGCAGCCCATATATCCAGAGATCCTGCTATAGCTCTATTGGGTATATGGACTGCCTGAGACTTAAGTTATAGATCAATTATAAGGATATATATATCTTCAGTCACCCACCCACTGTGTGTTTATTAAGCATCTACACACACTAGGCCCTGTGGTGAACAAGACAGACACGGGCCTGCTTTGTGGAGCTGTGGCCTGATAACAGAGCAGAGCAAGTCAGACAAGAGTCCAGTAGGGAGTGCTGACCTTGGCGAGACCACACAGAAGGAATAAGTGTATCTGAGGAAAACCAAGTCCCCGTCATGCGTGAACCTGGGAGGGAGGGAGGGAGGGAGGGAGGGAGGGAGGGAGGGAGGGAGGGAGGGAGGGAGGGAGGAAGATGTCCACAGCCCACCCCAAGACTCAGCAAGCTGTTGGCCCAGGTGCCGAACAGGCTGGGTCCTGAGGCCTATAAAGAGCCCAGGAGAGTTTGAGCTAGTGAGGGGCAGGACCAAGATGCTCTAGGTGGGCTCTGCTCTCTGTAGGTACAACGCTATCACCGGGGAATGGCTGCAAGATGAGGTTTTCATCAAGATGGCATCTGAGGTAAGCAGAAGCTCTGAGGGGCCAGGGCCGAGTAGGGACTTTCCCAAACCACTCTCAGTGCCCTCTTCCCATTTCTGTTTTATTTAATTTTGTCTTTTATTTTCACTCATTTATTTATTATTTGTTTGTTTGTTTATTGTGTGTTTGAAAGAGGAAAGACAGACAGACAGATAGACAGAGTCATCCTTTGCAGGCCAGGCTAAGCAGCATCATGCTCACTGTGGCTGGCCTCCAACTTACAACTTTCTGCCCCAGCCTCCTGTATGCTGTGAATCCACTTTAATTGTGTGTGTGTGTGTGTGTGTGTGTGTGTGTGTGTGTGTGTTTGTGGAGGTCAGAAAACAACTTGTTTTCTTTCTTTTCATCATGTGGATCCCAGGGGTCAAATTCATGTTGTTAGACTAGGTGACAAGCACTTTTCCTTGCAGAGCCATCCACTGGCCCTATATTATATTTTTAAATTATTATTGCATTTATTTATTTTTTTATTTGTGAGGACATGCATGCTGCAGTGCACCTGATGGGTCTGAGGACAACTTGTGGTATTTGGTTTTGTTTTCCCCACATGGGTCCTGGATGCTCATTTTTCAGGCTCGGCTACAAGCTGTGTTGCTCACTGAGCCATCTCACCAGCCCATGTTTTGTATTTTTAAATACTCGCTTATTAACATGTATCTCACATAGCATACACATTGCTCACTGCATTTACACAGTTCTGGCTTGGGATGCAGGTCTGTGGTAGCATGCTTGCCTAGCATGCACAAGACCTTAGGATGCAGGTCTGTGGTGGCATGCTTGCCTAGCATGCACAAGACCTTGGGATGCAGGTCTGTGGTAGCATACTTGCCTAGCATGCGCAAGACCTTAGGATGCAGGTCTATGGTAGCATACTCACCCAGCAGGCACAAGACCTTGGTATCCACCCTCAGCACTGCAAAAGGAAAGAAAAGCGCATACAATGCAATGGCTTTTAGCTGTTTAACAGTCACCGTTCAGTTCCAGAACTCCCCCACACCCGGTTTAAAATTTATTGTTTTAGAATTTCATATATGCACATACATGTTTTGGTCATCACCCCCGCATACAGGCACAGCTTCATACGCTCTGTTTAAATCCCTGGAGCCCACTAGGGTTCTGTCCTGCGGTGTGCTCACACCCTCACACATCCTGCTCAAGGTCAAGCCAACCTAGATCCCAGCCTGGGCTGGGGACAGCCCAGGAAGACCCATCCCTGGTTGTTGTCACCCCATTCCTTCATCACCCTAACTCCTGGAAACCCCCAACCCACTTTCTATAATGTAGATTGCTCACCTCTAGGCACGTCCTACACAAAGAGGTCATGAAGACTTCTCAGTGGGTCTTGGCACTACCCTCTGGGTTTTGTTTTCTTTTTGCTACTAAACACATTCAGTGTCTGCAACCAGCATCCTGCAAACAAAAAAGAGAGCAGGAGTGGAAAAGGGGGCTCTTCCCGCAGAGTGAGGGGACCTTTTACAATGTAACACACTCACAGAAGAACAGGAAAGGAGCTGTTCCTCACTGGTGTGTAAATCCTCAGCGTGTGGGAGACGCTGAGTTCCATCCCCACACCAGGCAGCAAGCAAAGCATACATCTTGATGAGTGTCCCCAAGGCGGGCACACGGGCATGGACCCAGAGAGGCAGAACATAGCCAGTGTTCCCACAGACTCTCACTGCTCATCCACCACAGCACGACACTGTCCCAGACCCTGTCCTAAGACTTTCATTCATCTATCATTGTGTCCTTTGAGTGTGGCTTCTTTTACTTGACATTTTTCATTTTTTTTAAATAATTTAAAAAATTATTTTATGTGCATTAGTATTTTGACATGTGGGTGCTGGGAATTGAACCCAGGTCCTCTAGAAAAACAGACAGTGCTCTTAACCTCTGAGCCATCTCTCCCGCCCCAACATTCCCCCCCCCCTTTTGCTGTGTAAATACTTCATTGAACAAATAGACCTTGTGCTTTGTGTGGCAAATTACTGATGGATGTTTAGGTGGCCTCCTCTCTCCTCCCTTCTTTCAGTTTTTACTGTTTTTCTTTTTCCTTCTTTCTTTATCTTCGTTTTTGAGGTTTTTTGTCTTGTTCTATCTTTTTGGTTTTTTGAAACAGGGTTTTTCTGTGTAGTCTTGTCTGTCCTGGAACCACTCTGTAGACCAGGCTGGCCTTGAACTTACGGAGCTCCACCTGCCTCTGCCTCCTGAGTGCTGGTATTAAAGGTCACCACTGTCTGGCTTATCTTCATATTTTTAGTGTGTGTGTGTGTGTGTGTGTGTGTGTGTGTGTGTGTGTGTGTGTGTGTGAGAGAGAGAGAGAGAGAGAGAGAGAGAGAGAGAGAGAGAGAGAGAGAGAGAGAGAGAGAGAGAGAGAGAGAGAGAGAGGGAGAGGAGTACAGTGCCCCCAGAGGCCCAAAGGGGGCCCTGGAGCTGGAGCTGGAGCTCCAGGTGGTTGTGAGCCCGACATGTATGATGCGAGCTGAACTCCGGTTCTCTCAAGGCAGAAAGTGTTCTTAAGTAACTGCTGAGCCATTTTTTCCTTTCTTCTGTTTTGAGACAGCATTATTCAGCTTTCATACCTATGACACAATTTCCTATACAGTCATCTTTTTTTTTTTTTTTTTTTTTGGTTTTTTTCGAGACAAGGTTTTTCTGTAGCTTTGGAGCCTGTTCCGGAACTAGCTCTCGTAGACCATGCTAGCCTCGAACTCCCAGAGATCCGCCTGCCTCTGCCTCCCCAGTGCTGGGATTAAAGGCGTGCGCCCCCACCACCGGCTCCTATACAGTCATCTTTTTGTTTTGAGACAGAGTCTTTCTAGCCCTAGCTGTCCTGAAGCTCAGTGTTACACTGGGCTGGCCTTGAACTCACAGAGATCCTCCTAGGGCCTAGACAGTGCTGGGATCAAAGGCAGGGGTTACCACACCCACCTTTCATAGTATCCTTAAAAAAAGAAAAGGTTTATTTTGGCTCGTGGTTTTAGAACTTTGAGTTGGTAGTCTGTTAGCCCTGTTGCTTTGGGCCTGTGTGGGTGCAGCACATCCCAGCAGGAGCATGTGGCAGAGGAGGCCTGTTAATTTGATGGTGGCCAGGAAGCAGAGACTGAAAACCAACCTTTGCTGTGCACTGCCCCTCCCAGCATCATGGCCCCACAATGGCTCGTCCATGGGTTTGAGATGAGGTATGGAGTCCCCCTCATCCCAGCAGTCTCCAGGCTGAAGTCTATCTGACTTTGGTGCTGAGGCCCAGGAGGGACAGCCTAGGGCTGTTAGGATTGAGGTGTAATGTATGGGACACCTTGCTGGGTGGGCAGCAACAGAGGGGCTCATGGGTCACGGGTACTGATGGCTCTGTCCTTTCTTTCAGCCCTTCGGCCGCGGAGCAATGAGGGAGTGCTTCAGGACGTAAGTGACTTGGCCCGAGGCTTCTGCCAAGACTCCTAACAGCTAGGACTTAGGGGTATTTTCAACTAAAGGCTCATGACAAGTAATCTGTGCCTCCATGTAGCCAGGTTCTTCTCCACCCAGTGCTGGACCCCAGCTGACCCAGTTGTAGGGGTCTGAAAGGAAAGGGAATGACCGCTCACCTGCTTGAGTAGGATGGGAGGCCACGGACATCAATCCTTAGCCCTTCTGGCTCTGGCTGGAGGAGTGGGTTTACTGCCTTTCCTCCAGCTCCTGTACCCTGCTCCTTCTCCATCTAGCCGTCCATGCCAGACAGGCGTGGTTGTTCTGAGATCTCACGGTTGTGTCTGCCGTGAACCTGCTGAGTTGTAGACGGGCTCCCCCTTGTCTTTCTCCCCAGGAAAAAACTCTCCAACTTTTTGCACGCCCAGCAATGGAAGGGCGCCTCCAACTACGTGGCCAAGCGCTACCTCGAGCCGGTGGACAGGAGCGTGTACTTTGAGGATGTCCAGCTCCAGATGGAGGCGAAGCTCTGGGGGGAGGAGTACAATCGGCACAAGCCCCCCAAGCAGGTGTGTGTGCCTCCTTCCTGCACCACTGGCCGGCTGTGAGGGCAATGGGGAAACATGGAGTCCTGTCTCCACCTCTTCTTTGCAGTACCGGGGACTAAAACCAGAGCTTTGCCTGTGCCAGGCAAGTGCTAGACCATGGAGCACACCTCAAGCCCCTGAAGTTTTGAGACAGGGTCTTTCTTGCTCTGGCCTTGAACTTATGCTCCTCCTCCCCCAGGCTCTGGAATTTGGGGATTAAAGGTATGCACCACCATGTCTAGCTCTTTACCGTCTTACCAGTTGCCAGTAAGGATCACTTTTTTTTTTTTTTTGACATGCTAAGCCATGTACTTCATATGCAGTAAATTTATTTCTATAAAACCAGGAGCTCTGTGATTGGAGTGTTCTTATCTCTGTTGATAAATAGGATCTATTGTTATGATCTTTATGGTGTGGCTGGTACACACACACCATATCACATGTACGGAGGTCAGATGACAGCCTTGGAGAGTTGGTGCTCTCCCTTTGCCATGCGGGGCCCAGGGACTGAACTCAAGTCATCAGCTTGGTGGCAAGCTCCTTCATCTGCCGAGCCATCTCATTGTCCCTTTCGTGAGTTTTGTTTGCAGGTGATAGAAACCCATTTAGACTGGCTTGATCCAAAAAGGGAAGTCCTTGTTCTATGCACTTGACTGCTAGATCCTGCTCTAGGCACGCTGGCACTGGCCATGCTGGGGTTATTAGGAATCGTCTACTCTGGCCTGAGTATCTGGGTTGGCACCACTCTTCCGGGGCCCTTTTAGTCCCAGTAGCTACAGGCTCATTTCTCACCAGCCTTATTGGGAGGAGAGCACCTTGTCTCTTTTATTTTTGTTTGGTTTTTTGTTTTTGGATATATGGTTTCTCATTGTAATAGCCCTGGATGTCCTGGAATTCACTCTGTAGACCAGGCTGGCCTCAAACTCACAGAGATCCACCTGCCTCTGCCTCCTGGGTGCTGGGATTAAAGGTGTGTACCACCACTGCCCAGCTAACAGTTCTGATGAAAGTGTCAGAACTAGGTGTCATTGGCTCTGATTATCAAATGCATATGTCTGCACCAAAGTATTTGGGGGCGGGGGGAGTATGTAGGTGGGGGAGCCTGAGCCCTGTGCTAGCCTCTGCAGTCAGGATTGAAAGGCCTTCCACCCAGGCCATATGGACTAGGACTGGGAACACGATGGCTCCAAACAGTAGCAGCAGGTGTGGGGATGGATGTGGGCTTCCAGGGTTCTGGGCTCAGTGAGGTTAACCAGCCTTACCATCCAGGCAGGGATGGAGCCTATCCTCCACCAAACTGCCTCCTCCTCTTGACCTCTGTGTTATATATGACCTGGTGCTAAGCCTCTTGTTATCTGTGGGCATTTGAGCAAATCGGCTCTCTGCCTCTGTCCCAAATCCCTGGTTCCTCAGGAAAGCCATCCTTCCAGGCCGCCAAAGAATTTGTCAGTTGTCTGCTCATAAGGCCCTTGGTTACACACGCTCAAGAGACCAGAGTCTGCTGCATGTGGTGGCACACACCTTTCATCCCAGCACTCAGGAGGCAGAGGCAGGTGAATCTGTAAAAGTTTTAGGCCAGCCTGGTCTATATAGCAAGTTCCAGACCAGCCTCAAAGACAACAACAAAAGAGGCTCCAGCCCCCACAGCCTCAGCAATTTAACTCACTCTGGTCTGGCTTCCCTTCTCTCATTCCTGGCTTATTTCCTGCCCCAGGACCTTTGTTCCAGCTGTGCCCTCAAATCTTTATCACTTCCATAATCTTATTTATTTATTTATTTAATATACAGTATTCTGTATGCTTGTATGCCTGCAGGCCAGAAGAGGGCACCGGACATCATTACAGATGGTTGTGAACCACCATGTGGTTGCTGGGAATCGAACTCAGGACCTCTGGAAGAGCAGGCAATGCTCTTAACCATAGGGCTGAGCCATCTCTCCAGCCCTATGGTGAGCTTCTTCTCGCAGTCCAGGGCTCAGCTTACATATCACCTCCAGAGCAAGGCTATCAGCCCATCGGACATAAGATCTCCCTTCTACCCAGTCAACCTTTGTCATGTTATTCTGTGCTGTTTTCCCTTCTTTGAAGTGATGTGATCTAAAAAGGACCTATCCACTTAGTTAATATTTTAATATCCCCACCCCCACCCCAGGGATTTTGTGTCTTGCCTATTTCTGTCCCCTAGTTCCTGGGTATCAAGTAAGTAATGACAAAGCTAAGTTGAAGACAACAGATGGATGTGGTCATCTGAGCAGGTGCTGGTGGCCCGCTCAACTGTGCACTGCCCCTTACCCAGCAAGCCCTCTAGCTAGCCCTACCAGCCACACTGTCTGCGTGGAGACAGGACCCTTCCCGGGACTGTCCGCTCTTCCCACCAGGTTCGTTCTCAGAACTGCAGCTGTCTTTGCTAAAGGTCTCAGCTGTCACCTCTGGGCTCAGGTGGCTTCTGCAGTTTCTGCCTGCCTGTCTGGTGACCCTCTTCCCTAGAGGGTCATTGCTTTTGAAGTTCAAACCCGGTTCTTTCCATGTTTTGGGTCGTACTGAGAGAGGTGCCATGCAGAACCCTCGGGAGTTAAAAGCCACACAGGTCTGTTACTGCAGTTTAGAAACATACATAGTATTTATATTAGAACCTGAGTATAACATGCCATACATAGGGCCTATATTAGCACCTGTATATTATATTCCATATATAGGGCCTATATTAGACCTAGATATAGCATGCCATACATAGGGCCTATATTAGCACCTGAGTATAACATGCCATACAAAGGGCCTATATTAGCACCTGTATATTACATTCCATATATAGGGCCTATACTAGACCTACATATAGCATGCCATACATAGGACCTATATTAGCACCTGTGTATAACATGCCATACATAGGGCCTGTTATACCACCTGTGTATTACATACCATACATAGAGCCTATATTAGCACCTGTGTATAACATGCCATAATACGCTATAAAAATCTAGCCAGGCACAATGGCATGCGCCTTTAATTCCAGCACTCAGGAGACAGAGGCAGGTGGATCTCTGTAAGTTTGAGGCCAACAACCTGGTCTACATAGTTCCGGGACAGTCAGATCTACATAGTTAGACCCTATCTCGAAATCCCCCAACCAAAATAAATTAATTTTTAAGAAATTCAAAAAGTGTTGGCATTTCTTGTAATTCCTCATTGCAGAGAAAAGAAAAAACTACTTTTCTTGTTGGGGCCAAACTTAAGGAAAAGGGTTAATTTTTGTTCACAGTTGGTAAAAAAGGCCTGTCAGTAGGAACATAAGGCAGATGGTCAAGCAGACAGATAGTGGACCAGGCTATAAAACCCCAAGGGCTGCCTCAGTGACTCACTTCCTTTGGTAAGACTTCACTTCCTAAAGGTTCAGCGGCATCACCAGTTTAGAACACACTGTCTAACCACAACTTAATAATAGCATGAACAACGTCGCCTTTATGTATCAATAAATTTCATCTTGGTGCTGAGCCCGACATCCTCCTATTTGCATCAAGAAAACTAAAACACAGTGACATGAAATAACTTGCTCAAACTTACAATATTAGTGCCAAGCCCAGTCTGAGTTGCTAGCAAAGAGATCCGTAAGTTTACACAGACATAAAATGGTCCCTTTCTGATTTATATAAAGATTGCTCTGAGCAGGCTGATAATCTATGTCTTTGAAGGCATCCAGAGACCTGGTTCCTTCTGTCCTGTAACTCTCTCACCTCCTAGGATCACAATGACCATGGTTCCAGTGAGGGTTCCCAAGCCATCCACCTCACAAGGCAGGCTGTAGTAATGGCATTGCTGGTGGTCATTTCCTATTGGCTAGGTGTGGTCACATGGTCACACCTAGCTGCAAGAGAGTCCAACTGATTTCCCTTTGTGATCCTGCCTATGTATCCTGCCACAATCCAGAGATGGGGATCTTCATATTTAAAGGAAAGGAGGAGAGTGAATTCCAGGTTCAGTTAGCAGTTGTACTGGCTGGTGAGAGCCAGGTCTGTGCCCTGAGAACAATGTGCGTCCAGCCCAGCCCAGCCCTTCCTCTTGACCATGCTCCCTTCTCTTCCACCAGGTGGATATCATGCAGATGTGCATCATTGAGCTAAAGGACAGAGAAGGCCAGCCCCTCTTCCACCTGGAGCACTACATTGAGGGCAAGTACATCAAGTATAATTCCAACTCAGGCTTTGTCCGTGATGACAACATCCGACTAACACCACAGGTGAGACCCTGAGCTTGCTCTGCTCACATTTTCATTCTTCATCCTCTTGGGAAGGCTCAACCCTAGACAGGGAGATTCCTGTGGGTGGAGTCTTACCTCCTCACATCCCTGGGAACATGTGTGAACCCAGGGCTCCAGCATGCTAGGCATTGCCCTACCACACAGCAGTATTCCCAGTCCCCCTACCCTTTCCATGTATTTCCATGTCTGCAGTATGCAAGTGTGTGTGTGCACCTGTGTGTATCTGCACCCATGTGTGTCCCTATACGATGTTGGGGATCATCCTTGACCACTCTTCTGTCTTACACAGAGTCTCTCATTCAAACCCAGGGCTCACTGATAAAGCTAGTCTTTCTAGACAGCTTGCTCTGGGAATCCCATCTCCACCTTCTAAAACTGGACTTAGGAGCAGACCTACATCTGCATCCAACATTTACATGAGTTCTGCAGAATCCAAATTCTGGTTCTCATGTTTGCATAGACAATGGTTTAACCACCAAGTCATCTCCCAAGATTTTTTTAAAGCAATACACCTGCCACCCTGTGCTGGTTTCTTTCAGCAGCCCTAAGATGACAATAAAGCTGTAACCCTAAGATCTTTGTGGAGCTGAGCATACCCTTCTTTTGTCTTTTACTCTACAAAACTCTGCTTGAAGAGACCGCCTTTACCAGGGCGACCCGAGTCTTACAGCCTCCCGCCCAGCATCAGGCCAGCATCTGCCTAGTCCACAATCTGGCCTGCTACAACTTCTTCTCTTCCTGCCCCGACACAGGCCTTTAGCCACTTCACATTTGAGCGTTCTGGTCATCAGCTGATTGTGGTGGACATCCAGGGTGTGGGGGACCTTTACACTGATCCACAGATCCACACTGAGAAAGGCACCGACTTTGGAGACGGCAATCTCGGTAAGTGGGGAGAGCCAGCCCATGTCCACAGAGACCGTGCGCCCCTGAAATCTTAGGGAACACACTGAGACACTGTTGGGCCTTCCCTGAGGTGATGGGGCAGGAACTTGGTTTGTCTGATCTACCACCCCTCTAGTTGAGTGTCCTTCATCACTAGGCAGAAATAAGACCCCAGACACCCTTGTTCTGCCTGCAGGTGTCCGGGGAATGGCTCTCTTCTTCTATTCTCATGCTTGCAACCGGATTTGCCAGAGCATGGGCCTTGCGCCCTTTGACCTCTCACTGCGGGAGCAGGCTCTGGTAAATCAGAGCACCAAGCTATTGGTGAGTACTCAGCGGTGATCAGGCTCAGCTTCCTGTGGGATGGCGTTTGCTTGGCTTTGGCCTATTTGTGACCAGAGTGAAGAAAACAGAGAAACAGAACTGACAGGAACCATGTGTGCCCATGTACACAAACATGGGCACTGCCAACTGTGGACAGTGGGACCAGCCAGCTCACTCTTTTTAGGAACTAATTCAGGAGACTGTTGGCAAAAACAAATTTTGGCCTCTGGGTGTGCATTGGGGTGTACTTCCAGCTCAAACTGGCCAGCACTTTAGGAAATACAGACTAGTAGCCCCTTTGAGCTCCATCCATGTACCCCTTCTTGGATACTATAGGGTTAATCCTGAACTGATTTTTCAATAAGATTCTGTCTTAGGCGTGTATGAAAGCCATGGATAGAGAGGTTTCAGGGTTCAGAGGAACCCTCCATTCCCTACAGAGTGCTGTGTGACGTGACTATTCCCATTAATGTCCCCAGCAATCAGCCAAGACCACCCTGAGGGGGACAGAGGAGAAGTGTGGGAGTCCCCGCATAAGGACGTTCTCTGGCAGCCGGCCTCCCTTGCCCCTTCGCCTTTCAGAGAACTCCGGGGATGAGAACATGAGCGATGTGACTTTTGACTCTCTGCCTTCCTCCCCATCTTCAGCCACACCACACAGCCAGAAACTGGACCCCCTCCGTAAGTCCTGGATATAGAGATCCCTGGGTGGGGGGGCAGGTAGAGCAGAGCTAAACCAGTTTCATTCGTGGTAGAAAATGAGACAGTTTAGCCCGGGTGGCGTTCCTGGTGAATTCATAGGACAGACTTCCAAGATGCAGCCAACCGGTATATGAAAATAGCCTCTGTGGTAGAAAACGAAGCAACCCACCTCGGTGTGGTCTATGACGCTAGCAAAGCTGGCATCTGACAGAACACAGAAGAGGACATTCCATCTCAATGTCCTTATCTTACAGTCACAGTGCACAAACTGTGAATAAGCCAGTGATGGTGGTCCATGCAGAGGCAGGGAGAGCTCTGAATTGAAGGCCAGCCTGATTTATGTAGCAAGTTTCAGGCCAGCCAGGGCTACCTAGTCAGTCTCTGTCTCTGTCTCTGTCTCTCTCTCTCTCTCTCTCTGTTTTTCTCTCTCAAAAACTAAAACAAAACAAGTACAGCTCCCATAAGATAATCTTTTTAAAAATAAATAAAGTATTATCAAATAAAAACTACTGGCCCATCTTGGTCGAATCTGAGAATCATTCAGCATTAGGAAACCTGTCAATATCATAGCAATAAGTCAAAAGAGCAAAGCTGAGGCTGGCAGAATGGCTCACTGGATAGCGGCACTTGCCATAAAATAACTTTTTCTTTTTTTTTTGAGAGAGGATTTCTTTGTGTACCTTTGGAGTCTGTCCTGGGACTTGCTCTGTAGACCAGTCTGGCCTCGAACTCACAGAGATCACCTACCTCTGCCTCCTGAGTGCTGGGATTAAAGGTGTGTGCCACCACAACCCAGCAAACCATGAAATACTTTTTTTTTTGAAATACTTTTTAAAAATATTAAAAGCTGTTTAAAAATGTGAAAACCATTTTATGAACTGTGTTGATGTGGATGTATGCTGGGGGCTGAACACAGGTTTCATTCGTGCTTAGCTTATTCTCTCTCTACCACTGAGATCTCCCCAGCCCGCACTGTTACAGACTTCATAAAGCTGGTCAGGCTGTTGAGTATGGGGGGCCACCTGTTTATTTCAGCACTCAGGAGACTGAAGCAGGTGGATCTCTGTGAGTTCAAGACCAGCCTGGTCTACAGAGTGAGTTCCACAGCATCCGGGGCTACATAATGAGATCCTATCTGAAACAGCAGCAACAAAAAGGTCAGCCAGCTTGCTTAGGTCAGAAGAGAGAGATACATGACTGCCAGGAGACAGCTGGCTTGGAAGCCACATTGCGGCCCACACTGTGGGCCCCCCATGGACAGGTGGCTTCTCTTCCGTCATATCTGCACTTTCTTCAGAGCTACTCAGCCCGTTAATTACATGTACTGCTCACATTAATTACATGTACTGCTCATGTTAATTACATGCACTGCTATCTGTGTATGTGATAGACACACATCCATGGCTATCCAGTGTTGGACTTGGGAAGAATTGAGAAAGAACTGTAGCTCTTCAGGGTGACAGTATCTTTTCCCCATGTGGTGCTTCTTTTTAAGAATTAAAAGTAACCAGGTGGTAGTGGCGCACACCTTTAATCCCAACACTCGGGAGGCAGAGATAGGCGGATCTCTGTGAGTTCGAGGCCAGCCTGGTCTACAGCGCTAGTTCCAGGACAGCCAAGGCTTTATAGTCAACCCCTACCTCAAAATAAATAAATATTTAATTAATAATTTATAGTATATATTAAATAATATATATTATTTAGTGATGAATATATATATATTTAAAAGTAAAATGCTGGGCATGATAGTACACAACTGTAACCCTGGCTCTTGGGAGCCTGAGGCAGCAGGATTGCCAGCAGTTGGGCTGCAAGGTGAGGTTTGGTGTGGGTTCCGTGTGCTGTAGGCAGGGTATGTGTGGCTCTTGGATATGTCCTACATCAATCACCTTTGCTTGTCCCTGCTCAGATTGGCCAGTGTTTGGTGATCTTGATAACATGGGCCCTAGAGACCATGACCACATGGACAATCACCGGGTGAGTGGAAAGGAGGGAGGTTGCCGGCTGCCATCCCCCAGGGTGGTATGAAAGAGGCTGTTAGGTTGAGGGAGGCAGTCAGCCCAGGTCTCCTTGGAGCACCTCTCAGATTGTCCTGCAGGTTCAAGTTCACTTTTGGCTTCTGTTTGGAATCATCATCTTGGCAAGATGGTATTTTAAAGAGCTTTAGTTTCTCACTTAACTCTCAAGATGTACGAGATAGACTTTTTCTTATAATAGATTTTATTCTAGAGTTAGATGGGGGCTGGGGATGGTAGAGTGCTTGCCTAGCATCCATAAAGCCCTGAGTTCAATTCCCAGAACCACAGAAATTGGGCATAGCAGTTCACACCTGAAATCCTAACACTTGTGGATGCAAGAGGATCAAGATCATCCCTGGGGGGGTAGGGGGCTGGAGAGATGGCTGAGAGGTTAAGAGCACTGGTTGCTCCTCCAGAGGTCCTGAGTTCAATTCCCAGTAACCACATGGTGGCTCACAACCATCTGTAATGAGATCTGGTGCCCTCTTCGGGCCAACAGACATGCAGACAGAATACTATATACATAATTAATTTTAAAAAAAATCTTTAAAAAAAATCATCCCTGGGAATATAGTGAGTGTGAGGCCAGCCTGGGCTACATGAACCCTTGTCTCAAAACAAAAGCAGACTATCTAAATACGTGAGGGAAGACTTATTACACTCACCGTTTCCTAGGTTTCAGCCCTGTGTTATTTGGCTTCTTTAGTAATGTGTGATGAGGCAGAACCGAATAGCAGAAGGGTGTGACAGAAGCTGCTCGCCTCGTGTGTTCAGCAAACGGGGCAGCAAGGAGACCAGAGGGTCTGGGGATAAAAGCTATGCAAAGATGTGCTCCAGTAACCTGCTTCCTCCAGCCAGGCCCCACGTCCTGATAACCCAGTCAGCTGTGAACTCATTGCTGGATTACCGCATGGATGAAGTTAGCACTCTCGTGATACGTTCACTTCTCATAAGTACAACTGACTGAGAACCTTTGGGGGCACATTTTGTACCAAACTGTAACAGTCCTTCAGGTACCAGAATGGCTCCCACAGCCAAGAGAACCAAAGCGTAGATAAGTTGAGTAGTTATCTAATAACTGATACTCAGCAGATGAGTATAAAGCCAGGGGTTGTGTCCGGGCATCCGGTTCCAGGGCCTAAGTTCTTTGCCACGACTTTGTACTGCTTTCTGGTCTCTCGACCAGCAGGAGGCAGGAAGACTGTTGAGTAAGGTGATAAATCAAAGGAGCGAACAGATGACTAGGATGTCCAGATGTCATCACCACCGTACTGGGAGCACCACTAGAACTATTGTCCTCTCTCTCCAGGACTCCGAGAACAGTGGGGACAGCGGATACCCAAGTGAGAAGCGAAGTGACCTGGATGATCCTGAGCCCCGAGAACATGTGAGCACCCCCAGACCCTAAGACTGGAGACCTTTGTTCCTTCATCTGGTATCCATTGGGATAAGAAAGCTAACAGGCAAATAGAACAAGAAAGATTAAGACAATAAACCAGACTTCAGACAGCGGCAAATGCAGTGGAGATGGTGAAGCAGACTGGGAGGAGGAAGGGGAAGAGAGAGAGGATTGGCTGTAAGGTTGAACATAACAAGCAGGCTGGGTGTGGTGACACACTTGAGAGGGTTATGTTCAGGGCCAGCCTGGGCTAAGGATACCCTGTCTCTAAAAGAACAACAACAACCATAGAACAAAGGCAAGAAAATGGCAGGGAAACCTTTGAAGCTGGAACCTTTGGCTGTTGAGCTGGAGGATGCTGGATAATGGGCTTCACTGATGTGGCTGGGAGGGCTCAGGGTACAACCCTGGCATCCCTGGGAGGGTCTCAAGCCTGCTTCCTCAGTCTCCCTCCCAGCACTGTCTGGGTGGAGGTGGCTTCCATGCTCTCAGCCCTTCAGAAACTTCCCCGTGCACAGAAATAGAACCAGCACAGTAAGGCCTGTTGCACGGAAGGCCCTGGTCTCAGCGTATAATTATGAACATGAAGCATAAAGGAGGAAGCTAGGCCAGAGGAAGAACTAACCACCGTTTCTCCAGTGGCTTCATGCCAACTCTGGTACCCTGGGGTCAGTTCAATCTGTTCACACAGGTCTCTGCGTGACTGTGAACTCATCAGCTCTGCAGACGATGGTTCCAGCTTCACCTGGGGAGTGGTAAACTGGTGTCCCTAGAGCAGGGACCCCGGGAGGCCTGGTCCTGCTCCCCGGGAATTGGTTTCTGGAAGGAAAGTCTCCTCTTAAAATACATTTTCTGTTCCCTCACAGGGCCATTCCAATGGCAACCGAATGCCTGAATCTGATGAGGACAGCCTGGGCAGCTATGGACGGGTGTGTGCCCATAGGAACAGGCGGGCAGCTATGATGGGTATGTGCCCATGGGAACAGGCGGGCAGCTATGGACGGGTGTGTGCCCATAGGAACAGGCGGGCAGCTATGATGGGTACGTGCCCATGGGAACAGGCGGGCAGCTATGGACGGGTGTGTGCCCATAGGAACAGGCGGGCAGCTATGATGGGTACGTGCCCATGGGAACAGGCGGGCAGCTATGGACTGATGTGTGCCCATAGGAACAGGCAGGCAGCTATGGACGGATATGTGCCCATGGGAATAGGCGGGCAGCTATGGACGGGTATGTACCCATAAGAACAGGCCTGCCTCTTTTGGCTCTTGTGTTCTGCCCTCCTCCTGGCACACAGCCCACCCCTCCACCTTGTGCATGTCCATTTTGCAAAGGGCAGGTTTGAGGTCATGTCCTGGGCAGGGTGCCAAGAGACTCCTGGGGAAGGGGAAAGAGACGGTCCTGGATAAAGGTCACCAGGACAGCCTCATGTTAGAGAGTTTGACCAGAAGGTCACAGCATCTACCGCTTCTCCTTGCCACCACCCAGTGAGACATTTGCTAAGTTGCTCATCACCGCTTTTATGTGAGAAAACTGGAGTCCTGGGCAACTTTTCCCACTTACCTGGCTACTCCAGGGTGTGTGTGTTCCTTATTTGAAATGCTTGGGCTCAGAAATACTTTGAATTTCAGATTATTTCTCCATTTTTTTCCCTGTGTGTGTGCATGCATGTGTGTGGGTATGCATGTTTAGCCATGCACGTGGAACCCAAGGTTGATAATGGGATCATTTATTGTTTTTATACCTTAGTCTTCAAGGCAGGGCCTCTCAATCAAACCCAGAGCACACTGATCCGGCTCATTTTACTGGTCAGCTTGTCTGGGGATCAGGCCTCTGCCTTCTAGGGCTGTAATTACGGGTTGGCTGCCACTCCTATCAGGCTTCTGGGGATCGGAACCTCACCCTCATGCTTGTATGGCAGATGTTTTAACCACTAAGCCAGCATCCCAGTCTCACAGTTAGATTAAAAGAAAAAAATGGGGGATACTCTTGGCAAATACACAATTAGACAATTTGAGAGGGACCCAAAGTCTAACTGTGAGATTCATCATGTGTGTTTCATATACACTTAACATGAGCCGAGGGTAATTTTACCTGCTGCTTTGAGTGCACTTGTCCTTTGTCCGCTGTGTGAATGACAAGTATCTCAGTGGTGGCGGCTGTCAGGCATGCTTAGGAAAGGCTGGCCCTACTGTCTCTTATTCTCCGATTCTCAAAACACAGTGTGAATGCCACACCTCTCACTGTTTGCTAAGTGGGTCCCTCCTGCCTGCAGAGTCCTCCCCCCTGAAGCCTGGTGCCCCTATCTGGAGCCCAGAGGCACTTTCTAACCTGGCCACCCCAGCTGGCGGGATTCTTTTTCCTCAGCTGGTGGTCAGATGAAGGCTTTTCAGCCTGGAGCAGGACAGAGTTGCTCTGCTGAGTCGCTGCTGGCGCTCTGGGCTGGGTCCTTCTTGCTCCAGGGCTGCAGAGAATTTAGCTGCCTGTGCTCCCCGAAGTACCCCGTGGCGTTGCTCGCTTTATCTTGGTTGACTCACAGAGAAAGCCAGCCGTGTTTGTGGGAGTTAGTCTTTTCTGGGGCCTGGCATGAAGAAGCTAGGAGAGAAGGCTTAGTGTTGAACCTCAGCTGCAGCTTTGGGCTGATAAGCGAGGGGAAGTGTTTCTCGGGGCCACTGTGGTCTGTTCCGCAGGTCATTGTGTTCTATGGCTGCCCTCTCTCAGTACCCATGAGCTGGTGGCAACTGAGCATGAGTTTAAGGCCAGACTGATAATCAAGGCTACACAGAGAAACTGTATCTTGAAAACCAAAAACAAAAGTTAAAAAAAAAAAAAAAAAGAGAAAGAATTGGAGCCCTGGGGATGGGGTTGCTTCATTGTAATCCTAGCTCTTGATAGTCTGAGGAAGGGAGATTGGGAGATCATGATGCAAAGCAGCCTAAGATACATAGTGAGTTCAAAGTCTTTCTGGACTACATAACGAGGCTCTTGTTCAAATTGTCAGGAACAAATCAAAAGAATTGGGGGCCACTCTTGTCCAGTAAAGTTAGATGCCATTGGGGTTCCTTCCCCTCGCCCGCCAGCCAGCCTCCTGTTTTTATGACAGCATACCCAGCCCCAGCCCCTCACTTCTCTGGCCTTTAAACTCCATCCACCTGGTCTCTCCCATCAGGTCTCTGTGGAGACGTGGAACCTGCTCAATTCCTCCCGCCTGCACCTGCCGAGGCCCTCGGCTGTGGCCCTCGAAGTGCAAAGGCTAAACGCTCTGGACCTCGAAAGGAAAATCGGGAAATCTGTTTTGGGGAAGGTATGGGGGATGCCCGTTCCAGAGCCCACGCAGGGCTCGCTCCGCTCCTCCACTAATTGCTTCTTCTTGCAGGCTGGCTGGGCTGCCCTTAGGCATGGCTTTGGCCTCCTAGGCAGCCAGACCAACATTGCCGTCTCTGTGGCAGGTCCATCTGGCTATGGTACGATACCACGAGGGTGGGCGCTTCTGTGAGAAGGATGAGGAATGGGACCGAGAGTCAGCCATCTTCCACCTGGAGCATGCAGCTGACCTGGGAGAATTGGAGGCCATCGTGGGCCTGGGACTTATGTACTCTCAGCTGCCCCACCACATCCTGGCTGATGTCTCTCTGAAGGTGAGGGGATGTGTGGCCCCAAGCTAAAGTGGAGTGCTCAGCCAGTCCATCACTTACCACCCCTATTCCGGTGGTCACCTCCTGGAGGATTCGTTTTGTTTGCTTTTTTCAAAACAGGGCCTGACTATGTAGCTCTGGCTGTCCTGGAACTCAGTCTTGTAGACTAGACTGGTCTCGAACTCAAAGAGATCTGCCTGCCTCTGCCTCCCAAATGCTGGCATTAAAGGCGCGCGCCACCACCACCTCACTCTCATTTTCTAAATAGTAAGTTAACTATTTTGACTGGCTACTCAGATGTAGTTTCAGAAATGTACCAGTTACCTGAGACCCTCATAACAAATTCCCACATCCTGGTAAATTACCACGGTTGTCTTTTGGAGGCCCTGGGGAGATTCCTTCGTTGTCTCTTACAGTCTCCACGAAACAAACAAAACATCCAAAGCCAGGCATGGTGATGTCCCTGTCATCCCGGTGCTCAGAAGGCTATGGCAGGATTGTGAATTCCAGGCCAGCCTGAGCTACAGGCTACGATCCCGTCTGAAACAGCCAGCTGCGTATCTGCACGTATGTGTGCACATGAACGTCACAGCAGCAGTCCCTCTCTCGGGCGTGGACAGAGACAGGTGGAGCAGTGTTTGATCAGGAGAATGAAGCACAGGCATGTGCTCCAACCTGTGTGATGGAGCCAGACAAGATGCCACATGTTAAATCACTCTAGTCCATATATATGACACATTCAGAGCCCACGGAGGCAGAGAGTGGACGGATCATTGCCTCTGGACGGGGTTGGGTGGAGAGATAAGTGTACAGAGAAAATATGTGATTTGTGGAGTCTGGTGTTTCTTTTTTGGATTGTTTAAGATATTTTGAAATTGGACCAGCATGATGACCGGTGGGTAAGAGCCCCTGCTGCACAGTCTGAGATCCCGAGTTCAATCCCTGGGTCCCCCATGGTGGAAGGAAAGAACCAACTCCCACCTTCATACATAGACTGTGGCACATGCAAGCTGACACACACAATAAATAAATGAGTAAACACAATACAAATGTAGGGGTTTGTTTTGTTGAGACCAGGTTTCTCTGTGTAGCCCTGGCTGTCTTAGAACTAGCTCCAGACTGGCCTCAAACTACCTCTGCCTCTTCCTGAGTGCTGGAATTAAAGGTGCCTGCCACGAAGCCTGGCAAACATTTAGCTTCCTAAACCCATGGTGGGGTAGCTAAACAAGCTTATCGATATACTAAAAGCCGTGGACATGAGCTTCCCAGCCCAGAACTCTCACAACGACTTAAGAAACTGGAGGTTGACAAAGGAGCCCTTGCGGTCTCCCTCAGACACTCATGTGCTGTTTGTGTCCTTTCCCTTTGACAGGACACAGAGGAGAACAAGACAAAAGGTTTTGATTACTTACTGAAGGCGGCAGAAGCTGGTGATAGGCAGTCCATGATCCTAGTGGCCCGAGCTTTTGACACCGGCCTGAACCTCAGTCCAGACAGGTACTATGGCTGTTGCATGGTTAATGTTGGGGTAATCTGGGCCATGCAGGTTGCGTTTTCTTTTTTCTGTTTTTTGTTTGTTTGTTTGTTTGTTTAAATAATTTATTTGTATATACAGTATTCTGTCTGCATGTATGCTTGGACACCAGAAGGGGGCACCAGATCTCATTACAAATGGTTGTGAGCCACCATGTGATTGCTGGGGATCGATCTCAGGACCTCTGGAAGAGAAGCCAGTGCCCCCAACCTCTTGAGCCCGCTCTCCAGCTGGCAGGTCAATTTTCTTTGGTTCAGGACAAACAGACATGGGTTCTAGCCTTAGCTCTGCTTAGCTCTGAGTCCAACTCAGTGACTTTCAACAAGTTACTTTACCTCTCTGGCCTCAGTTTCTTCATTTGGTGAAATAGGAATAATGATAGTATCTATCTCTAATGATGCACCCATGAAGACCAAATACCTTTCCCACAGTGCCTCATCCATAAAATGTACAATAGATGGCAGTCTTTACAGCATATGTAAAGATTTGATTGGAGCAGGGGGGAACCAGAAAAGGTTATGCAGTTCAGTATGATTGTCTATAGAAAATAGAATTTTGGGTGATTGTGACTGCTTTTCCCTACTCTTATTTTAATTTGTATTCTTTTTTTTTTATTATGTATACAATATTCTGTCTGTGTGTATGCCTTCAGGCCAGAAGAGGGCACCAGACCCCATTACAGATGGTTGTGAGCCACCATGTGGTTGCTGGGAATTGAACTCAGGACCTTTGGAAGAGCAGGCAATGCTCTTAACCTCTGAGCCATCTCTCCAGCCCTTAATTTGTATTCTTACGATGATGCAGTGTTGAAGATTAAACCTAGGACCTCAGCCTGGTCTACAGAGCTTGTTCCAGTACAGCCAGGGCTATACAGAGAAACCCTGTCTCGAAAAACAAAACAAAACAAAACAAAACAAAACAAAAAAAAAAAAAAAACCAAGTGGGGCCGGGAGATACATTTTCCAGCAGGCACCTTCTCTTTAGTATCAAGAATTCATCTCCTTTGCTGGGGAGGTAGCTTAGTCAATAAATTATTTGCCTGGTGCATGAAGACTTGACTTTGGTTCCCAGAACTCATTTAGAAAAAGTTGAAAAGAAATCAGCAGGCCCCTGGGGTTGTTGGCAAGTTTCAGATGAGTGAGAGACCCTTTCTCATGAAGAAAACCAAAGTGGCTGTCACCTAAGGAATGACGCTCATTTGTCCTCTGCCATCTGCCTCTCCTCACACCTTCCCCAAGGAATTCTCCTTCCACTGGTGAAGGGTTTGTCACACTGTGCCAATTTCGTTAAGGAAAGATCCCTTCGAAATAAAAATAGAAACTGAGCCAGGCGGTGGTGATGCACGCTTTTAATCCCAGCACTCGGGAGGCAGAGGCAGGCAGCTCTCTGAGTTTGAACCCAGAACAGCCAGGACAACACAGAGAAACCCTGTCTTGGTTTGGGTGGGAGAGAAATTATCTATATAGGGGCTGGAGAGATCACTCAGAGGTGAAACGCTCTTGCTGCTCTTCCAAAGGACCTGAGTTCGGTTCCCAGCACCCACAACAGGGAATTCACAACCATTTGTAGCTCCAGCTCCGTGGATCCCTTTCCTCCTTTGGCCTCCTTGTACATGTGCACACGTGCAGCATACACACTCAGGGACACATAAATTCAGTTTTTCTTTTCTTTTTAATATTTATTTATTTATTTATTTATTTATTTATTTATTTATTATGTATACTATATTCTGTCTGTATGTCTGTCTGCAGGCCAGAAGAGGGCACCAGACTTCATTACAAATGGTTGTGAGCCACCATGTGGTTGCCGGGAACTGAACTCAGGACCTTTGGAAGAGCAGGCAGTACTCTTAACCACTGAGCAATCTCTCCAACCCCCATAAATTCAGTTTTTCAAAAATGAAACAGAAATGTAGAAACTCTAACATGAAGGTATCCCTTAGATGTGGTGGCCATTAGTGCTGTAGTTTGTGGACCAGAGGTGGCGGTCCCACTGGGGTCCCAGGCTTGCCTCTCGAACTCAGTGGTCCTCTGCCTCCCCACACCATGCCACAGTAACATCCTTCTCCCCTCCATGTCACCGGACAAGGTGCCGAGACTGGTCAGAGGCTCTCCACTGGTACAACACGGCCCTGGAGACAACTGACTGCGATGAGGGTGGGGAGTACGACGGAGTACAGGACGAGCCCCAGTACGCGCTGCTTGCCAGGCAGGCTGAGATGCTGTTCACCGGAGGGTTCGGGCTGGACAAGAACCCCCAAAGATCAGGTGAGGCCCATAGACCTTCCCTGGGGTAGGATGGGGCTGGGGAAGGTCTATAGTTCCCATCCCTCTGGAATTAGAAGTCCCCAAATGAGCCCCTTTCCTCAGTAGGGGTCTTGATAGAGATGGTACACAGACAAATATTTTATTTTTACTTTATCACATGTTATTTTATATGTGTGAGTGTTTACCTACATGTGTGTATACCGTGTGTGCCTGGTACTCTCAGAGGCCAGAAGAGAGTTGGATCTCGTGGAACTGGAGTTATAGGTGGTCATGAGCTCCTATGAAGGTGCTGGGGATTTACTTTATTATTAGTTGTGTATGTGTGTGTGTGAGAGAGAAAGAAAGGGAGGGAGGGAGGAGAGGGAGAGAGAGAGAACACTGAGGAGGCCAGAAGAGTATGTCAGATCCCCGGAGCTGAGGTTACAGGAGGAGCTTGGGAGCTGCCCAGCATGGCTGCTGGGAACTGAACTCTAGTCCTTTACTGTTAACCCCTGAATCATTTTTCTAGTCCCTCACATTTTTGTTTTAATTTTATATTATTCTCTGTTTTCTTTTTAATTATTTATTTACTTTTAAAAGCAGGATGTGATATTCATACGTATAATCCCCGTCTTGGGATGGCAAAGACAGTGGCTCCTGAGGGCTTGCTGGTCAGCCAGTCCAGCTGAAATAACAATTTCTAGGTTCAGTGGGAGAGACCCTGCCTCAGAAAATAAGGGGACAGCAAAATGGGGGTTCTTAGGCCACCCTGATAAGCTAAGTTTGATCATCAGAACCCATGTAAAGGTGTAAGAACTCATCCCACAGAGTTGCCCTCTGACTTCCACACCTCTGCCCTGGCACATGCACCCCCTCCCAGTACTTAAAAAAATAAGGGGGGCAGAGAGATAGAAGAGGGCATCAAAATTATGTATATAAATCAAATATAAGGATACAGCCAGTCCTCCCAATTTATGAGTTTTGCGTCCATAGACAAAAAGGCTTACTATCTTTACTTATGTTGTGTGTTTGTGAATGTGTGCACACACCATTGCATATGTGGGAGTCAGTTCTTTCTTCTACCACGTGGCACCCAGCCATCAAGCTCGGGTCAGCAGGTTTGGCAGCAAATGCCTCTACCTGCTGAGCCCTCTCACCAGACTCCCCCATTGCACCTGTAAAGCTGTTGTGATGGTGTACACCTGTGACCCCAGCATTGAGGAGGCTGATAAGGAAATTCCAAGTTTCAGGCTAGTCTGGGCTACATAGACCCTGTCTCAAAAAAGGAAACGTATTTGCCTCTGTCACTGAGTAGTCTTCTCCTTGTTTGTTACTCTTCTGTTGCTGTGATAAGAGTTCCCCAACAAAAGATAACTTAAAGAAGGAAGAATTAGCTGGGCGGTGGTGGCGCCGCCTTTAATCCCAGCACTCGGGAGGCAGAGGCAGGCGGATCTCTGTGAGTTCGAGGCCAGCCTGGTCTACAAGAGCTAGTTCCGGGACAGGCACCAAAGCGACAGAGAAACCCTGTCTCGAAAAACCAAAAAAAAAAAAAAAAAAGGAAGAATTGATTTTGGTTTACTCGTCCAGAGAGGATTTGGAATTAAGAGTCCGTTATGGTGGGAAAGCTTGGCATCCAGAGCCAGAGCCTGACGCAGCAGGGAAGCAAGAGGACCAGATTTCACCCCCACACAGTATCTTGGTCAGGGTTTCTACTGCTGTGAGGAGACACCATGACCATGGCAACTCTTACAAAGGAAAGCATTTTAATTGGGGCTGGCTGTCAGTTTCAGAGGTTTAGTCCATTACTGATGGCAGGAATCATGGCAGCCTGCCGGCAGAGATGGTGCTGGAGAGATGGCTGAGAGTTCTACACCTGGATCTGAAGGCCGCAGGAAGAGAATGCTACACTGAGCCTGGTCAGAACATCTGAGACATCACACACTTCCTCCAGCAAGGCCACACTTCCTGATAGTGCTACTCCCTCTGGGCCTTTCGGGGCCATTTATTAAAACTACCACACACATAGGAAGCAGAGAGGGAAAACAGGAAGTGGGGCAAGCTATAAAACTTCAAAGCTGATGGCATTTCCTCTTGTAAGGCTCTGCCTCCTCAAGGTTCTGAACCTTTCCCGAGCAGCATCACCAGCTGAGGACCAAGCGTTCAAACATGTGGGCCTCTGAGGGCATTTCACATTCAAACCACAGCATGCATCAAATGGTGCAGGGTACCATACATGACATCCCGAGTCATCTAGAGGTGATTAAAGCAAAAGGGAGAAGATGCATAGGCCATATGCAAATAGGACACACTCACCCAGGGGCCTTGAGCAGATTTTGCTGTTGGTGGTGGATCCTGGAACCAACCTCCTGTGGGGGACAATTATACATTAGAATTTATGGGCAGGTTTTGCAATTTGAAAAACTGAAGCTGAAGTTTTCATAACATTTCATCTTCCTTCACTATTACCTAGCTTTAAACCTTTGCACACTCGAAAGGAAATCCTGTGCTAATTAGCAGTCACTTCCGGCCTCCCGTCCCTCCCCAGTAATCACGAATCTACTGTCTTTAAGAATTGGCCTGTTGGGGCTGGAGAGATGGCTCAGCGGTTAAGAGCACTGACTGCTCTTCCAGAGGACCCGGGTTCAATTCCCAGCACCCACATGGCAGCTCATAACTGTCTGAAAAAAATAAAAGATAAATCATAAACAATTTAAAAAAAAATTGATCTGTTCAGGACTCAGTTTACAAGTAAAATTACACAATATGTGGCCTTTTCTGTCTGGTGTACTTTAGTTAGGGTGGAATTTACAACCTTTCATTCTCTCTCTGTTTTGAGACGAGGTCTTGTATAATCCAGCTGGTTACAAACACATCTCAGCTTGTACCGTGATTACAGACATCACTATCTTACCTTATAAAGGAAAAAAAAATTTTTAAGACAGGGTATCACTTTGTAGCTCTTGCTGTCCTGGAACTCACTCTGTAAACCAGGCTGGCCTTGAACTCACAGACATCGACCTGCCTCTGCCTCCCGAATGCTCCGTTAAAGATGCGCGCCTCTGCACCCAGCTAAAAGAAAATATTTTTATCATCTATGTATGCGTGCATGTGGAGATTAGAGGACAACCTTTGGGGATTGGTTCTCTCGCTCCACCATGTCACTTCTAGGGATGGAACTTATGTCATCAGTGTCTTTACACATTGAGCCTCTTCATTTCTTTTATTATTAAATAATATGTCACTGAGTGAATATATCACTTTTTTCTACTATAATCTGATGGATATGAAAGATTTCTTAAAACTTTAAAAATGTTATTTTTTATGTATGTCTATGTGTGAATGCATGCTGTGTGTATATATACCTGTGGAGGCCAGAAGAGGGTGCTGGATCCCCAGAAAGTGTTACAGGCAGTTGTGAGCTGCCCAGTGTGGATACTGGGAACTGAGCTTAGGATCCTCTTGAGGGAGGAGCACTTTTTCTTTTTTTAAAGAATAATTTATTATGTATAATAGTGTTCTACCTACATATATGACTGCACACCAGAATGGGGCACCGGATCTCATTACAGATGATTGTAAGCCACCATGCGGTTGCTGGGAATTGAACTCAGGACCTCTAGAAGAGCAGCCAGTGCTCTTAACCTCTGAGCCATCTCTCTAGCCCCCAATTTAGATACTTCTTATCAGTTTTAAGTCTGTCATATAGACTGGTTGCCTTGGACTTCAGGTTGGGGGTGTGGCTCAGCAGTAGAACTCTTGCCTGGCATGCAAGCTGTCAAGTTCCACAGCAATACCAGAGAATCGAAGAGCACTCTGACTGGCCAGGTTTAACCATACACTACCCCGAGCGACTTGAATCATACCGTACAGGCCAGGTTGCTATAGTAACCTCAGATGCTCTTTTGGGTGAGATGAAATTTGCTTGCTTGATGAAGACAAATGGCTCACCTCCTTGTGCCCGCTTTGCTGTCTTTCAGGAGACTTGTACACCCAAGCCGCCGAAGCCGCGATGGAAGCCATGAAGGGCCGGCTAGCCAACCAGTACTATGAAAAGGCAGAAGAGGCCTGGGCCCAGATGGAGGAATAACTGTCCCAAAAGATCACTGCCAGCTGGTCCCAAGCAAAAGGGCTGGGGATGAGGAGAATGGGCTGATTTTTTTTTTTTTTTTGGAAGGGGAAAAGCAGTTTTAACTATGCTATAAATTCACTTTTGTATTTGACTCGACAAAGTCTTTGCACCTGGCAGAGACACTTTAACTTCCCTTTAGGGGTGATACCTTGAGGGAGTGGGGGTTGACTATGCAGCCAAATGAATCACCTTATTTTTTTGAGGTTCCGTTTTCTTTCTTTTTTTCCCCCCATTTTTTGTCATGAGATCTAAGAACATGTCTTTCTGTCGGAATGAACAGACAGTATCAGGGCTGAGCCTGTGCAGTCTGCACTCACCCCAGTGTCTCCAGGCCCTGCGTTAGGAATCTGCATAGAGAACATTCTGTTAACTTCCCATGGATGTCTGTCTTTAGGTTTTGAGAAGTGTATGGACTTTTTTTTTTCAGCAGGTATGAGATCACTCAATCCCAGGTTCCTCCGCACCCTAGGGAGATTATAAGGTCTTTCATTTGATGTCCTCCCACTGCGTACCTGATTTCTTGGTGTCCACTAAATTTTGTTTTTTAAAAGCACGCTTCCTACTGTAGACTTTACAAAACAGGTTTGTTTTTTTGTACACACATATTTGCTACCTCTGAGTCGTGCATTGGTGGATGTGGAAGCAGATGAACCTCAGAGCTTTCACAGGAAGACCTTGGCTTAGGAGCTGGGCAGCTTTCCTCCCAACAGAAGTGCCTCTGCGCCCCCCATGGCCACATCCACGACTGGACTGAAGCATCCTTGTGCAGATTCCACGGTCATTTCTTGATGTGGTGGCGTTTTAAAAACTCTGCCCTCAGCCTACTGCCCTTGGCATTTTCTGCCTGAAGCTGGATTTTTCTGGTCGTCTGCAGCAAGTGGCTTTCAGCTGCAGCCCTTTAGGAAATGTCTAAGATGTCTGAGAACAAGAAGGCAAGAGTGTAAACACTCATTAGTTCTGGGTGTTTCCCCAGGGCCAGGTTGTGACTTAATGAGCTTTTTCTATAAAAGGAGTTCCGATTTAACGTGCGTGTGATTTCGTGTGATTTCTGTTGGTATTCCGAATCGCCAAGGGAGCGGCCTGCTGTGGTCCACCACAGATGTTAGAGCGCCCTCTATCTTTGCTTTAAAGAACAGAAAAGCAGAGCGCAACATACAAGTCATTCTCACCTGTCCTTAAAACAGGCCTTTTTAGCCTGGTGGTGGTGGTGGTGGTGCTCACCTTTAATCCCAGCACTCGGGGAGGAGGCAGAGGCAGGTGGATCTCTGAAGTTCCACCTGCTCTACAGAGCAAGTTCCAGGACAGCCGGGGCTACACAGAGAAACAGGCAGGGGGGGGAGGGGGGCACGGTTAGGATTTCCTCATTGAGCCTGCCCAGTGAGGAGCTTGTAGAAGCACTAGTTTCTAAAGTCAAGAGTGTAGGTACTTTGAGGGATAAGCAGAACCAATTTAACCCTGTAGTCCCAGCATAAAAGTGGTAGTGGCAGAGGTGATCCAGGTTTGAGGTTAGCCTGGGCTATATAGTGAGACCTTGACCAAAAATCGAAAACCAAACAAAAGAACCAAAATAGAGCTGGTGCTGGTGTGGTACTAGCATGGCTCAGTGGGTAAAGGTTCCTGCCCAGCCTAGCCTAATAACCGAAGGCCAGTTTCAGGGAGCCAACTCCTGTAAGTTATCGTCTGTTCTTCGCCTGTGTGGTGTGGCACGAGCGAGCCCACAAACACTACACGCACGCGCTCACGCACACATCGATGAAAGTGTAAAAGAAATGGAAAAGCAAGAATTATCCTCGACAGCTCCTTTTCACCCACCGCAGGTTGTGAAGCCCTGGGGTTTGCAGTTGACGCCATCACAGCTGGTTTTCTCTGAGAGGCTGGGGCTCCTCAGTTTCTTGTCAACACCAGAACAGTCTCTGGCTTGCGCCGTCCTGTGGATGTTTTAAACTGGTGCATTTGTTGGCTAGGAGAAGCAGTTTACTGTGACAGTCTCTCAGGGTAACTGTCCTTTTAGTCTGGAGTGTGTGCGTTGGTTAGCAGACAACCTCGGAGTTGTTCCTCAGACACTAGCCACCTTTTTCTTTTGAGACGGGGCCTCTCGCTGGCCTAGAACTTGCCAAATAGGCTATGCTGGCTGGCCAGTGAACTCCAGGTATCTGTCTGTGCTATCCTTCCTAATTCCGGGATTTCAAACTCATAATCTTCTACCCATTCATTGGTCCCTGTCTTGATCACTTACAGGCTCAGGCCTGCAAGTTGTTCCACCCACATGGCCTTAATGCCAGGAAGTGGTCTCTTTTTCTCCAGGAGGCTGAGCTAGCCTGAAGCACAGCTGAGCAAATGCTCTAAGGCTTTGCGAATAAAAAGGAGCTGTAAGAGCCTGGTGTGTAATATGTGCACTTGAAGACTGCGGCCAGAAGATTATGAGTTTGAGACCAGCCTGAACTATGTACTAAAACTCTTGTCTCTTAAAAAAAAAATAGGCCTGGAGAGATGGCTCAGTAGTTACGAGCACTGGCTGCTCTTCCAGAAAACTGGGGTTCAATTCCAAGCACCCACATGACAGTTTGCAGCTATCTGTGACTCCAGTTCTAGGGGATCCAACACCCTCACACACAAACATGCAAATACCAATGCACATAAAAAAAAATAGTTTAAAAAAAAAAAGGTGGTTCAAAGCTGTAATCATAGCACAGCTTAGGAGGTTGAGGTGGAAGGGTCACTGCGAGTCTCATGCCAGCTTGGGCTACATGATGACTTCCAGTCTAGCCTGGGTTACAGAATGAATTTTAAAAAAATAATAAAGTGATGGCTCATGCCTTTAACTGTAGGCCCATATTTCTGTATGGCACAAGAGCCATAAACCCGGTCTGAGGTGGTCACGAACTCTGCAGACAATCTGTCTCTGTTTAACAATAGCCAGGATGTGCTGCTCCTAGTTTCTTTTGTTATAAATGTAGATTACCTGAGAAGAGATGTTGGCTGAAGCTGATGACTTAAGAGTTAGGAGGTTTGGTGCTTCTTTCCTTTGTAATTTGGAGGATATCTTATAGAGATGCTAATTCATGGCCTACGTGACTGTTAGCATACAGATGACTAAGGCCCATTCACCTGGTTGCCTAGGAGACAGCCTGATGTGTGCTCCCCCTTCAATTTATGTGAGGATATATAAACTGCTTGAATAATAAACGAGGGAGATCTTGCCCTTGAAGGATGACCGTGTAAGCTGCGTCTGATTATTCCTCGCAACTCCGTTCCAGTCCAGTTAGGGAATCTGTGTTGGACCCACATGGGCTTCAACATTTAACCCAAGTACTCGTGAGGCAGAGGCAGGTGGTGGATCTCTGTGGGTTCGAAGCCAGCCTGACCTACAGAGGAAGTTCCAGGAAGGCTCTAAAGTTACACAGAGAAACCCTGTCTTGAAAAACCAAAATAAAATAATAAAAATAAAATATAAGACAACTTGCAGAAATGGTTATTTCTCCTCCCAAGCCCACTCTTATGTCTTCAGAAGCTGGTGAGGGTATCTTCTCTCCCCATGTGCTGGGTCCAGCTCAGGGAGGGTAACAGCAGTGCCTGGCACTTGTAGTCAATTCTGTCTTCCAATGCATTAAGTGGATATAAGCCTAGGTTAACTGATCATGTGGTACCTTCATCTCAAAGACAGAAACAAGGGCTTCACAAGATTCCAGTGGCACTGCTAGCTAGAGGCTCAGCTGGAGCTAGGGCCCTGAGAGCTGCTGTTTTCCAGAGGTTCCTGGGAATAAAGGCATTTAACTGATGTGACGGTCCACTCAGTCTTGCTTCTGGTGACAGAGACGTAAATCAAACAGGGTTGGGGGGGGCTGGAGAGATGCTCAGAGGTTAAGAGCATCGCTTGCTCTTCCAAAGGTCCTGAGTTCAATTCCCAGCAACCACATGGTGGCTCACAACCATCTGTAATGGGGTCTGGTGCCCTCTTCTGGCCTGCAGGCATACACAAAGACAGAATATTGTATACATAATAAATAAATATTTAAAAAAAAAAAAACAGGGTTGGGGTAAGTATGCATACAGCATGTAGTCAAGGTCTTGGGTTTGGGCCCCAGCACTGCAAATCATACATAATGCAGGCTTCATGGATATAAGAAAGAACATTCTCGGGCTTCAGTGCTTCAGAATGATCCCGCTCCCTGCCCTCTGGACCAGCACACCCACTGAGCTATTTCCCCTCCAATCCTTGCTGTCCCTCATCCCAGCACCTTTGAATCACTAAGTGTGGTGTGAAAACTCACAAGTGTTTACACAAGTGTGTGCAGCTTGAGATGAATGGGAAGCGGGGAAGCGAGGTGACCATGCCATTCCCTGCTTGGATTTGCGCCTCCTACTTCATCTCTGACCGTCTCAAGGCAACTGGCCTGAGCTACAGGCGCAGTTTGGGGTGCATTCCAGGTTCCAGCTCGCCTCTCCCGATATCTTTTTTTCCCTACTATGTCAAATTTAAACTCACAAATTCTCCCTCCCTATGAAAACAAATCCAAAATTAGCCACACGGAGGCTGAAGCAAGCCACAGGCTTACTGAAGGAAGGGCAGCACTTCTTCACCTTCAACATGAGCTGCATCACCTGGAATGTGGGCCCAACGTGACCCCGGGCCGGCTTTTCACACTGCAGAAAAAAATGTGATCAATCCTGATTTTTAACTTTTGTAATAAATTCTGATAAAGCAAGCTTTCCGGATCTGGCCTGTTAGGTTGGGAGCCTAGGCCCCAGTCCCTGGCAACTGTCTCAGCCCCCAGGCCTGGTCTGGACTTCAAATCCCTCCCCAGGGTACTTAAGTGATCACCCAAAAGAAGAACAGGTGGTCGCCTTTCTGCGGCTTCCCGTTTCCTCCTCTGGGCCACCCGAGAGCGCAGATCTCCCATTAAACCTGGATATTTCTTAATTCGGTTTGCTTTGATTTGGCTTGATTAGGAATTTTTGCGTCGTCAGAGAGCTCGGTTTGGAAATATTCCTAACATGGCCCTTATACTGCCAGTTTGTTTTAGATAAAATCTATGAATGCTTTTGATTTGCCCATCTGTAAAACAATGATCATTGCCCCTCAGAGTTGTCCTCAGCTTCTGAGAAGACCGTGTGAATTGGGGGCTCATTTATGTAGGGCTTTAGAAGTGTCTGGTGTGAGCATTTGGACTCGAGATCATAGTGTTTTGGTTTTAAAAAATTCGAACGTTAGTTGGGCAGTGGTGGCACACGCCTTTAACCCCAGCACTTGGGAAGCAGAGGCAGGAATATCTCTGTGAGTTCAAGGCCACCCTGATCTACAAAGCAAGTTACAGGGCAATCAGGGTTGTTACACAGAGAAACCCTGTCTCAAAAAACAATATTTTGAACTTTATCCTAACACTGCATTGGCAGTAGATTGATTAGGTATATTTAAGTCATCCTGACTCTTCACCTACAATGATAGGGAACTTTTGAAAGTTTTATTGTATGTTTTTGCGACAAGCTCATAAGGACAGTGACAAAGGCCAGGCGGTGGTGGCGCACGCCTTTAATCCCAGCACTCGGGAGGCAGAGGCAGGCGGATCTCTGTGAGTTCGAGGCCAGCCTGGTCTACAAGAGCTAGTTCCAGGACAGGCTCCAAAACCACAGAGAAACCCTGTCTCGAAAAACAAAAATAAATAAATAAATAAATAGATAGATGATAGATAGATAGATAGATAGATAGATAGATAGATAGATAGATAGATAAATGACAGTGACAAAGGAGTCAACAGCAAGAAGTCTGGAGATTGGGAAATGTATGGATTGCCACCAAGTCAGCAGACCCAAGCAGGCTGGATATGGTGGTTCATGTATGTAACCCCAGCACTTGAGAAGCTGGGGCAAGAGGATTCTGAGTTTAAAGCCAACCTCAACCACACAGAATTTGTCACAAAAGCCCTTTAAAAATGACTAAGCCGGACGGTGGTGGTGCAAGTCTTTAATCCCAGCACTCGGGAGGCAGAGGCAGGCGGATCTCTGTGAGTTCGAGACCAGCCTGGT